ATCTTTGTATCTATATTAAAATGTAAAATCGAGGATATTAACTGTCACATTGTAAAACTTTTTTTTTTTATTTTAATTGTGATCCTCTTTATCAGAATTTGTCCACTATCAACAGTCAGTACATTTTTTTTTTTTAAATTATTGTCGACGAATAATTGTATCGCTCAGTTCAGTCTAAAGTTAAAATATTAAATGTAAAATTATAACGATTTCTCCTCAAACAATTTTCTATGTTTCGTTGAATTCTATTGGTAACAATATTTACTAACTATATATAGGTATTTTGAATAATCACCATATGATTATTTTATAATTGTCTGTAAATATCTAAAATATGTATAATTTTAAATTTTAAATTTTTTTCCACAACTATTTATAAAACAATTTTCACAGTGCCTTCTACAATGCCAAATATATATGCACGTGCTATAAGTTTTTTGAATAAGCATTGTTATTTCAGATAAATATACTTGAAAGTCTACAGTTAAAAACAAACAACCAAACATTATCATAATATTTATTTAAAATGATGCAACTGTCTGAGATAAAATACAGTTAAAAAGTTGAACAATCTTCGTTCTGAGTTGGATCCCTGAGATTGTAAAATGTTAAAGTGTATTGACATACCTCTAGTAACTACTTCGTAGATATTTTATGATCATTGATCAATCATATTTTATAGTCGATTCTTAATTAGACTGTTATATTAAGTGGCTGTTTCTCATAACCATTGGACATTTTAAGAGGTGTCTACTGCTTTTTGATTATCTTATATACGTTATACGATTATCTAATATGAATGATTAGTCTAAATTAAATACATAATATATTTTCTAAATAAAAATTATAATTACCTCCTGATGAATTATAAATCAATGTGATTCCGATGCATAGTACTATAAGTACTACATTATACTTTAATAAAGTTGAAGTCATTTTTTGAGAAAACTGTTACAGGGTTTTAGCAATATATCTACCTATAACCATAAGCAACCAACAATAATTATAAAATGAGAGAAACAATAATTTTTATAAGCCATTCTGTTTGTTCAGTCGTTGTTATATATGTATTCAAGGCATATGTGCAGTTGATTTTGTTTTCGATTATACAATAGAATAATATAGAATGTTATCGAAGGACGCTGATATAATATTTTATCTCTTATGACGTTTTTAAGTTTTCGACCAAACGAAAATATTTTTATCGTCATTTATAGAAGAAAATACTAGATTATAGTATTGTGTAAAAAAAATCCTTTTCCAAAATTAGTAATAATATTACCATTTATGAAGATCTTTGAATAGCGAATCGTAATCTTTTAAAAATATGTAATTATTATAAGTTATAACCACAAACCATGAAACAATTGATTACGATTCAAATTAGTCTCCTTAAACTTATGATATAGATATTTACTTTAATAACTCTTTTCAATTAACATTATAAACCAAACCTAACTTATCTATAATTGTTATATTATGTGATCACTGATCAGTGTTAGGACTTATCTGGATAAATTTATCTAGATAAATTATCAAGATAATTATTTTTTTATCTTTTATCTTATCTAGATAAATAAATATGAGTTATCTAAGTATTTATTTTAGATAGAAATTTAACTTATCTAGATAAATGTACAAGATTATTTTTTTGGCGAAAGTTAACTAGTTCTGTTCCAAAAAGTTTCATTTATATTCTCATTATCTAAGGCACAACTTGAACGTAAAATGTAATGTAATTTAATTTAATTTTCTCAATAATGTTTATATTTTATTTTAACCTGTAATAAATATTATTTCTAAAAATATTATTAACTAGGTATATTTTATTCCACTCGACAACTACTGTACATCAGGGTGACTTACCCATTTTTATTTATACTTTGTTACTCCCTTAAGTCCCTTGGATCTTATTGATTAATTATATAATATGTGTTGAAGTTGATACACATCATAATTCATAATATAATAAATTAAGTCGAAAATAAACATATTATATAGGCATGTACTTACATGACTGTACCTAAATATGTTTTTTTTTTTTTTTAATTAGTTGTTTTAATTTTTATAATTATCTGTTATTTATCTTTTATATTTTTGTTAGATGAATTTAAATTGTTTATCTTTTATCTGTACCTTAGATAAAATGTAGTGTTGTATCTTTATCATTATCTTTATCCAGATGATTTTTTTGTTATCTGTTCCTAAAACTGTCTGTGATAATATTCTAACAATATCAAGTATTTAATTTCATAACGAAGATCATTATGTAATATTAATTGATATTATATTTTGTATGACTTTTAAAGGATTCTAACCCCATTTGTATGTTTAAATTTAAGGACAATATTATAAACTACTTATATTTTTCACAACATTTAAAAAATATACCATTGTTGCCTGGAAGAGAACGTGCATTGATCAAATTTTGAATTTGAATCCACTATTGAACATTTTGACGTATTATGGTCAAAGTTTGTACGAAAAGTTGAACTGAATTATTTTACTATAAATATTCTATTGAAAACATATTATTTACTTTTGCTTTGAAAAATATTCACCATAAAGCGTTAAGTATTAGCACAAATAGAGTTTGAGGTTTGGGGGGGAGGCTAAAGTTGTACTATAATAATATTGTACAAACTTAAAACCAATTTATGAAATTTTTGAAATTTCAGAGGGTGAGCTATTGCAATGTTTAAGGTGTCTTAGCCCATAAAGCCTCTCCACTATTTCGTAGCGTTCGTGTACGTAGAACTTGAGGGAGCATAACCATTGGCGTAACCAGAAATAAAACTCTTTTTCTATTATATTTTGATTTTTTTTAAGTAAAAATTATCAATATATACAATGATTATATATTATAAAAATATTATATTGAGGAATATAATATACTGTGTGAAACAGTTCACAGATAAGTAGTTATTTCTTAATTGTGTAATAATAATCTGTATTATACAGTAATTAGTTTACCGTAAAGAACATTGCTAATTGTATTATTATATTGTGTAACGTACAACTTTTCACAGGTGCATATTTGTTCGTTTTAAACAAACCATGTTAAATAAACATATTCTATTTAAAAGACTTACAGATAAAAAATAATGCATATGCGCCTTTTTTTGTTTTTTTTTTTAGTCATAAACTTAAAGCACAGACAATTGCTTTAAACAATAGCAAATACGTAAAATTCAAAAGTCGAATAAAATTATAAAAATGACATGTTTTTTTTAAAAAAACAGAAACTGTTAAATTTTAAAATTCATAAAAATTTAAACTCGATTTTTATCCATGAGTTTTTTTTATGATATTGCCATTATTCAGTCGTCGTCCTTGCATTATATCAGAATTTTCCACTATTATTAAATAAATATAATATAAAATTTATTTTTATTTGTTTATTTTATAGAACATAACTATAGTAACATTTTTATTTTTATTTTTATTAAATAAGTTCGTAGCCCAATGTACAGTAAATGAAAGTTAAATCTTACACACAAATAGCAAATCAGCGGAAGTGGAACGGAACCAGGTGCTTAAGTATGAGTGGGCGTTAGCAAGGCGTATCATGTGGTGAATCGGATTGTTTGAGCTGTAGTTGGTGGAGTGCATAGGGATAGAAAAAGAGGTTGAGAGTGGGTTAGACGTGGAAGAACGTGAAAATTGATCAGGGAAAGGAGTGTAGGAGCGTCGGCAGAGCCGTCAATGATTTTCTAGAGAAATTTCAAGTTTCTGACAACTTTTCCGTCACATGGCGTTGAAAGACCGTTGAAAGAACTGGTGAGTATTCATGCATCCAGCGAGGAATATTCAACTTGTACTGCCATAAGATAAAAAGCTCGTTTAGACACGTTCAATGATAGCAGAGTCTGAGGCTGTGTGAGGATCCCAGAGAACTTAACCATATTTAAGGAGGGGCCGTACTAATAATGAGCAATAGAGAGCCATCAGTGGAGAGGTAAGCTTAAAATCTGACGATACTTGTTTTACAAATCCTAAAATCGCAAATACCTTACAGCTTATTGACAGTAAATGATGGTGAAAATTAAGGTCGGAAGAAAGTAGAACCGATGTGAGATTGATATTTTGTCAAAGAGCGGGATCTTGATGAATGTCATGGATTGACATTTATTCACATTCAAGTTAAGACCTATGGATTCAAACTAATTGATTAGGGCATTAAGTTCATCTTATAAGAGGAGACAGTCGTATTCATTGCTGATTCGAAAAAACAGAACAATAAAGGAAAGCTAGAATATTGCTATTAGGCAGCATTTCCTTGACACCGTTAATGAACAGAGCGAAAAGAAGAGGTAACATATGGCCCCATCGAGGAGCAACAGAGGGAATATTGGCATCTACAACCATTGGTTTTTACAAATTATTTACTGCCGGACAAGTATGATTCAGACCAAGATAAAAGCGGATCACCAAAAACTGACTTACAAAGAATTTTAATTAAGCTGTTATGATCGACTCTGTCCAAGGCTTTTTCAAAGTCAGTGAAAATATCATTCACTTGGCATTTACTTTCGACAGCCTCAAGAATGAAATTGTTGAGGACTAACAAATTCATTACAGCTAACCACCCAGGCCTGAAACCATATTGCTCATCGATAAGAGTCGGATTAACTAAATTTAGAAGATCTTTACAAAAAGCTATATAAACACATTATGATTTATAATTTATATTTATTTATTTTTTGTCAGCAAATACATTTTAAGATTTATAAATAAGAGATATTATTAGATATTATATAGAGGTATACAAATAAAGTATATCTAAATATTATTTAACATCATTATTAGGTAATGAACTATACGCAGCACCTACCAGACAATTTATGACAAAACGAAATTATAATATTTATAATTTAAAATTTGTAAAAAGCAATAATTAATATTATACAATTGAATAGTGCAAACACCACAAAAAAACACAAAAAGGTGTAATTAAAACATGACAACCAAAATTTGGTCAGAAGAATCGCATATTGTAATTATAGACTATAAATATCATTTAAATCTTCTGATGCTTCACGAGAATATTTTAACAGAGTTCTGGTTAAATCGATTCCCACTTGATTAGCCCTTTCGTATTCGCACATTATTTTCGAGCACCTTATAAACCATTCATTTATAAAGTCGTACATCTCCAAGTCAACGCCCAAAACCTGAAAAAATATGAAAATGTATGTTAAATACGTGTGTCCAAATTATGTGTAAAAAAAAATTGGTTAAAAAATACCTGTAAGGTCGAAATGGAAGCGACCAAAGAGAAATCGGCCACAGTCATTGAATCACCGGCTGTCCAAGTAGATTCTTTCAGAACATTTTCTAAAAACATGAGAGATTCGTGCATTTTATCCTCTGTTTCTTTGGTTTTCTCTATTGTATGGTAAATATATGGGTTCTGTAAAATGAAAAAAATATATTCAAATTTAAGTAGTGTTTCCACAGAAAATATAATACTATATGCATGCATAATAATAAAAATCAAAGGTTTTTTTCTACTTATTATTTTGAGTTTTTGAGAAATTTTGAGAAATTTGTGTTAAGAATACCTATATAATGGTTTTTTCTACATGTCTTCCATTATTAAATTGCTAAAAATTAAATAACTCAATTTTTTTTAACTATTGCTTCAATCTTATTTTAACTCATATTTCATAGATGATTTTTTTTTCATTTTAGCACGGGTCAGAAAATTTTCTGGTCATAGTATTATAACAACAAGCCTAAACGAATATTACAGCATAATAATATGATGCGTGGTTACCGTAGTCGGTTGATTATACTTTATCATATAGATACCACGTAAAGCATTTAATAATTGGTTGGAATGTTAAAATTCAGTGCGTTTGATAAAAAAAATGCAAGGTATTATACCTGATACAAGTGTTTAAAAACACCAATCGTGTCATTGCGTCAAACGTTAGCGATAAATTTATAACCAATGCTAATTGATCGTTATAATAAAAATAATAATATTAATAATAATAATAATGTAAATATTCACGTATTGATTTTTAAAAGCCGGATAAAAGATGCCGCTGTCAAAAAACAGTCTTTGGTTGACCTGCGCTTGAATTTTCGGTTCATTAGGGTACAGCGGATTGTCTTCTCCGCCGTATTCTCGAACCAAGTATACGATGATTGCATGACTGAAACGACAACGTAAATTGATTATGGTGAAGTCGTATACCCTGGTTGTTGCCTTACAGTTTAAACAAACGATGACGCTCCTTGCAGTAGCCACTACGTTCGAATACCACGCTTACATTGAGCAACTCCGTCGATCTACTTCACATACGACCAAAATACCGTACTTGTATGCATTGTAAACTCCCGTAAAGGGGGGGAGATAGCGGCATGGGTGTTTGTGGTCAGGTAGTTGGTAAGTTTTAGAGAAATTGCCCTGCTATAAGAGACTCGAGTTGGATTCCCGATCTGGCTAGATTTTTGACGATATCCCCAGGAGAAGTTAACAGTATTATCTTCTTAATAGTCCGAAATAATGATATAAACGCGAAGCCGAGACCAAACACAGCCTCTGTACTCTTCCTTAACTCCGAAAACCTTGTTTCTCACTTACGTGGTAAGAAATTAAAAATCTCTCCGTTGTTTTATTTATATTTATTCACTTTTAATCTACTTAAAAAATCTTTATTAGGTTGATTTGTCTTTTATCTATATCTAACGATCTCTCCTATTGCTTCGCCACCGTTCATATTCCAGCAATGTTTCTCTATAATTGTAGATTTGTTCTAACCAAAATATTTAATTCATCACTTGAAGCGGGTGCCCCCCCCCCATCATTGGAAGTCATCCTATGCCATTCCCATTTTAGAGATTGGTAATCCATCTTTGATCACAAACTATAAAAATCAAATAATTATTCTTCATAACCGTCAACAAAGTAACTTTTACAAGCAATTTGAACACTAACGACAGGGGACTCTTAGACCAAAAGACCAACACCGACTTTGCAGTATAAATCGGACGAAGACAGACCATTGGCGAACGCCCGATCGGACGAGACGAACGCGATCGTGACCAGCAATCCGGCCATAGTAGCTACGAAACGACGATTAATTAAGAACTGATATTATTATGTATCCGGCCAGTCTGATAATATTAATCATCGCAAGTTGACGTCCCCAATTGCGTTTATGTCAAATAACAAACGTCATCCGTCGTCCACTTAAAAATCGCCTAAATCGGGTGATAAAAAATCCAAAACTTTCAGATCTCCATAATATACATAATATAGATTGTGTAACTTATATGTTATCGTGTTATCGGACGGAAGAACTTATATTAATATTATTACCTATTATATACTTAGCGCGATCCAGTAAACCAAAAATAATTGTATGTATGATGAATATTCTATTTATTATATTTTGGTACAACTCGTATAGTTATCTAATAAATGTTATGCCTTTAACTCACCTGCCCGGCAAAACAAAGTCACCGTCCTGTATTACCGGTACAGTGACCAGAGAATTTTTCTGTAAAATAACAACGATTATATTGAACATCGTAAGTGCAGGTGGTAAATCAATATAATAAGACAACTTATTTTCGAAAACTTACTTTGAGGAAATCTTCTGTAATTAGTTTATTATTCGAGAAACTTATATTTATGAAGTTAATTTCCAAATTCAAAGCTTCGAGAGTCAACAAAACGGATCTGCATTGTGGGCTGATATTTTCGTAGTATAAGTCGATATCCTTTCTACAATTACATTTTAAAAACTTACTTTTTTAACAATATTGGAATATTTTGTAAGTACTTATAATTATGTAAAAAACAAACACAATGGGGAAAACAAGTTAGTTTTGTACTTGAAAATTACTTTTAAACAAATCACACCCTGGTGGTCTTAAGTACGATGAGATTATATTACGTATATCTATTATACTAGTATTATAATACGTCGTAAGAATTAAAATATCATAAATTCATAACTTGTTATGTTACTAATCATAATTATATACGAACAATAATCGTTAATTGTTTCCTTTTTTAGATCTTTACCCATCGCATTATTTTAAATACTTCTATTACAGGTTTAGACTAACTTCAGGAAGATTCAATCAGCTTAATAATTTTATAACAAGGCAAATAAGTTGGTGACGTTTTAACTACTTACCTACGGAATTATGCGATATGTGATACCATTGCAGATTAAAAACAATCAACGGTGTTACCTTTACTACCATAATAATGCAAATATAATCTGTATATATAAATATTAAATATAGAGCGTGAAAAATGTATGTTAACTGATAAATCTAGAACGACATGTCCGATTTGTCCCAAATTTTTTTTAAGATGTTTGTAATTGCCATTAGAAAGTTTTTGCTAAAGGAAATTTTAGGAAAATCTACCATAAAGTACAAAATTTTGAAGAATATAACAGAGGTTCCATCTTTTCAGAAAAAAAATAAAAAAATAAAAGTGCATTGTGTTGCTATTGGTTACGGACATGTTTGTTGATTTCTAACTACATAATATCTGTTTGTTATCATTTTATGTCAATATATAATATATTTATATATAATTATATTTTTTTTATGTCAATATATATATATATATATTATATAAATTAATGTTTGTATGTAGATTAGATATATGAGAAGAAGATAGGCTAATTGAAAAATGGTTAAATTTGGTTTTTTTTTATTCATTTGATTTTAGTACGGTTAGGTTAGGTTGTAATACTTGATTTTATTAATCCACCGATGAATTCCATTAGCAGTTATTATTATTATTATTATTATTATTATGATTATTATTATTACAGTAGACGCCTTTTAAAAGACTCACTTTGGGACCAGCACAAAGTGAGTCTTATAAAGTTATAACCGAATGAATCTTATATTCGAAGTGGAAAAAAAAATTAATTACTTATTTATAAATGTTAGATGAAAATGCGTTAGATTAGCACTCATGTTAACAACAAGAAAAGCACGCGTTGAAATTCAAATATATGACCTTTTATCTGCGATAAAAATTATTATACGTTATAAGGTACCACCAGAAACTAGAAAAAATCAACACGAATATTATTTAATTTTTCAATAATAATTTATTTCTAAATTATAACCAAATAATTTTATTTTCTACTATTTATTTTACAAAATTTGAGTCTTATAACCGAAGTGTTGAGTCTTATAACCGATTTTTTTTAATGTTTTTGGATACGTCCGGACCGTTCCAGACGATTTTGAGTCTAATAAGCGACTGAACCTTGTATCCGTGAGTCTTATAAGCGGCGTCTACTGTATTATTATTTTTATTCTAATAGTGTTGTCACTGTCTATACATATAAACATGACACCGTAAATTATACATAAACCTAAATCATTGGTAATCATTGGAAATCAAGGATAAACAATAATCTTGAGTACAACATTTCTGTAAATTACTTACTTGACTTTTTCTGAAAAAAATAATTCATTGTTTATAGTGAACATGTTACTCAACTTTGTGTGTATCATTCTTTATAATAATAATATGTAATAGACATTAATTTACGTTTATCGTATTTTATACCCTAGTTAAATCGTTTTTTATTTTTCAATCTAATGCAAGTTTAATATCTGTCGTATAATTTAGCATACAATTTGTCGTTAGTAAATTTGTTATGATATTTTAATTGTGATCTTATTTATGAGAATTTGTCCACTATCAACGTCAAGAGATATTTTTTTCAAATTAATCTCGACAAATATACTCACACAGCATTTGGGAAATGATAATATTTTAATATTTTGTGGATGTCTTAAAGTGGTTGAATAATGAATAATTGACTAATAATATTTTATAAATATTTTCTTCTTATGATAAAAAAATATTGCGTAAAAATGTTGAATTAATATTTTTATTAAGTTTCCGTAAAAATGTTTTATGAAAATAATATTTGGTTAAAATATTTTGTAAATGTTTTTTATAAAGTATTTTCAAATATATGAACTTTTGGGCCAAAGAATATAACTAAAATATTTCCTAATTATTTACGCAACTTAAAATATTTTGATAAATAGGTATATTATTTTTCTGAAAATATTTTTACCATAGTTAGGAAATGTTTTTATGCTGTATGGGTATTTATCGCTTGGTTCAGTCTAAAATTAAAACTTTTATTACATTGGAAATGTGATATAATATTCCTTATAGGTTTGTCAAGTTTTGTTCAATAAAGATAATTTTACCGGAAAGAGAGATTAATTTTTTATGAGCGTTTTAAATTCAAATTGTAATGATGGATATCGAACCATAAAACAATGATTTTCGATGTTTCGTTGTAGTCAAAAGGTGACAATACTAACTATATAATAGGGAATTCGAATAATCGAACCAACTTATTATTTTATAATTGTTTGTACCTTATAAATGTATAATTTGAAATTTGAAATTTTTTTTTCCACAACTATTTATAAAACAATTTCCACAGTGCCTACAAGTTTAAACGTTTATACATGGTTCCTCGTAATTTTTGAAATAACCAAAATACATATGCACGTGCTATATTTTAGATTCTGATCGGAGCTGAGCGAGGAAGCTAGTGGTTTCACAATGGTATTTTTTTTTCCTACTACAAAATTTCTACCAGAAGGAGTGCTTCGATTTCAACATATAGTACCTTAACTTTTAGAAAATTGGATCAAGATGGTACTTAAGAGACTTTTCTCCATGGTTATTTAATGACACGGGAAAAACCACCGACAAATTTCAAAAAACAGCTAAAAATGGGATTTTAATTTCTAACCATAGAAATGAAGAAAAAATAGTAATATTATTCTATTAATTCAACTTACAGGAAATAATAAATAATAATAATATAAAATATCCAGAATGATAAACCGTCTCCGCTCAGAATCGTTTTTCTTATACAATGATATTATATCATTGAATACAAGTTTAATACAATTCTTTATACCAGCGTTTATCAACCTTTTTTCATTTACGTAACCCTTGACCTCTAACCACTGCTTTACGAACCCCCAAATGTAAATTTATTATATATTCACACACAAAACAAATCAGATATTATGAAATAAGTTCGATGATGGAAAATTTGAAAAAAATATTTATTAATTAATTTAATTAGCTAAACAATGTACGTAATATTAACTTTACAATTTAATTTTAATGAGAACCTTGGGCTTGTTTGCTGGCACATAATTTTGTGAAATCTGGCTCCTCGGATGATAAGTAAACTGGTAAATCTGAATTCACAGAGAGTCTATTACGATTCTTATTTTTAATGTACGTGTACGACGAAAAGGCCCTCTCCACCAATACAGTACTCGTGAACGCCAGCAGAACATTAAATGCTTTGTTTGAAAGCTCAGGATACTCATCTTTTAAATCAGCCCAAATAGCGATGACAGATTTTTTTTCAAATATTACCTCAAGCGAAGAATTCGTCTTCAGTTCAATAAGTTTTTATTTTTCTCGTACTGATAAAACTGCAGATTCGAAATATTTTTCACTGAAAGGGAATGCTATCCAGTGGTCTCCTTTTTCACATTTTGGGAATATTTATTAAAAGCCGCCTTGAGTCCATTCAAATGTTGAACAACTTGGACTTTGATATCTTGCGATCGGTTTATATCAGTTTCACAGAGAAAATCGTGCAGTGTTTCAAACATTTCTGGTTGGTTATTTTCGAAACACGACATCCAAAACTCTAACTTTTTAACAAAAGATTCTATTTTGTCAGTTACTTGGAATATTGTTACTGTTGTACAGTTTTGAACAGTCAAATTTAGATCATTTAATTTCAACAAAATATCGGATAAATATGCAAGTTTTTGAAGCCATTCATGGTCATTAAACTTTAATGAAAGCCGAAAAGGATGGTCTTCAAAGAACATTAGAACTTCATGTCTAAGTTCAAACAAACGAGTAAGGACTTTGACTCGTGATAACCATCTAACCTCAGTATGAAGAAGGAGGGTTTTTTGAAGACTGCCCATGTATTTGCACAATGCTGAGAATATTCTGGAGTTCGTGTGGCAAGACTTGATGAAGCTCACTATTTTACAAGAATCATCCAGAACGTCCTTCAAATCAGCAGGTAAAGATTTCGATGTGAGAGCTTGTCGATGGATGCAACAATGAGCCCACTTTACCAGGGGAGATACTACTTTGACACGTGCAAGGATACCAGAATAACAACCTGACATAGACTTGCCACCATCAGTACTTAAGCCACAACATTTTGACCACATTATTCTCTTTTAGATGAAGTAAGTTGATAGCATGGAAAATATCTGCACCTGATGTGCGTAATTCGAAAAGATGCTTCAAGAACATCTTCATTTGCACTACCCGAAGATAGGTAAGTATGCATATTGCACTTATTTTTATTTTCTAGTAAAAGTTTGAAAAAAGTAATTTTTTTTGTCCTTTAAATCTGAATGTTTCGTATTCAAAAGACGAGGAAGTAATGAAGGCTTCATACTACCATTAGATAGTACTTCTCCACAAACAACACATTCAGGTCTAGGAAAATTTTCTATCATAACGAACGAAAATCCTTCTGACAAATAATCTTCGCTATATTTCCTTATCTTTACGTGAAGTGGAACAAGAAGTTTAGTATCACTAACCTGTGGGAACTTTTTCATAGGATTTTCTTCGGCTGGATTAGTAATCGATGACGGCACGTCTTGAGAATCGGTTGGTTCTGTAGTTTTCCTTTTACTAAAGCTACCAGTTTTTAACCAATGATCCATGGTCGAAAATATTATAAATATCAAAACATAATAATTACGAAAGATTTTTATGTACATAGTATGTGAAACGGACACACTGAAAGCAAGCGACAGTCTAATTATTAGAATAGATTTCGATATCAAACTAATAGAGAGTGATGTATATGACATATAAATGGTTAATGGATTTTTAATAGACAAATGATTGACATTGTATTAAACAACGTTACGTAAGCCTATAAGATAAAATCCAGTGTCCTGTGCCATATTATTAAATATTTCACAAATAACTAACCATTTAAAATACACCAATTGTAATTTTTTCCGCCATTACGATTTTTTTTTTCACGTACTACCTCAAACCTTACGTACCCCCAGGGGTACGCGTACCACAGGTTGAGAAACGCTGCTTTATACATTGACCCACTTAAAACCTACTGTATAGCAGAGCGACATAAATTCACCTACTCTATTTTTTTTAATGAGCATTGTTAATTCAAATAAAAATACTTGAAAATGTACAGTTAAAACTAAACAACCAAACATTATCATCGTCTTTACTTAAAATGATGCAAATGTCTATGTTAAAAACATCAGTTAAAAAAAATGAACAATCTTCGTTTTGAGTTGGATCCCTGAGATAGTAAAATTTTAAAATAAATCGACATAGATATAGAAAGTACATCGTAGATATTTTATGATCATTAATCAATCATATTCTATACGATTCCTTAGTAAACGGTTGATTCTCATAACCATTGAACACTATAAGAGGTGTCAACTGCTTTTTGTTTATCTTATAAACGTTACACAATTATCTAATATGAATAGGTAATTAATCTAGATTAAATATATAATATATTTTTTAAATAAAAATGATGATTACCTCCTGACGAATTATGAATCGATATGAATCCGGTGCATAGTACTATAAATATAACATTATTCTTTAATATCGTTGAAGTCATTTTTTGAGAAAACTGTTACAGTGTTTTAGCAAATATATCCTCTTACGACCTTAAGAGACCAACAATAATTATAAAATGAGAGAAACAGTGAATTTCATACTAAATTCTGTGTAAAAATAATCATTATACAGTAATTAGTTTACCGTCAAGAATTTAGGTGCGTGGTAAGTGTCTTATAATTTTGTATGACGTGGTACTATTCACAGGTGCTTATTTATTAGTTTTCAACAAACCCTGTTAAATAAACATATTCTCTTAGAAAGCCTTATTACATAGTAACATGTAAAAAATTTTGTATACCTATGCACCTTTTGTTGGTTGTTTTGGTCACACACTTAAATCACAGAACATTGCATTTAACAATTGAAAGGCTTGGAACAACAACCAGGTAAATCCACTTTTTTGGAAAATGCACTTTTTCATGAATTATTGTGTAAGCAAAAATTAAATACATTTGGATGCAACAACCAGATAAATCCGATATATATATTATATAAACATTTTTTTTAAATTTCTAGAGTAGGTATACCTTCCAAAAAACAATATTTTTGGCGCAATAACCAGATAAATCCATAAGCTTCATAACTTTGGACAACTTTGGTCTAAAGAAAAAAAAAATTAACTTGATTCTAAGTCCACAGCATTATTTTTCATCAAGTTAATAATAGAAAAATTTAACTGTAATAGTTTTAGTATCGATTAATCATTATTCTTTAACCACCTGTAATAATAATCATGATACGGTAAGTGTTCGTCCACTGTAAATAACACACCAGTATTATATATTGTTTTACACAGAAATGTTTGCAGAAACATATTTATTTGAATTAAATAAACATAATCTGTTAACAAGTCTTACATGTAAAAATAATGCAATGTGTATTATTGGTTTTTTTTGGTCACAAACTTAAATCAGAGAATGTAGATTTTTACAAACACGAAGGTATACGTGTAATACAAAATCAAAACAAAAATTGAACAAACCATTAAAAAACCAAAACTATAATAAGTTCAAATTATTAATAATTTCTACTCTCGAGTTTGTAAACATAAAAAGTAAACGATTTCGGGCAATCATCTTTTCAGCCTCAAAAAAATCCAGCCTAGATATTTATCAAATGTCGACATTGGTTGAATTGGTATAAAAAAGTTTTATACTTTATTCTATAGATAATATCTCATTTGTAAATTGTTACGAGATCAGTAATTATAATTAAGTATGAAATATAAAATATTAGTTGATAGAAAATTACTACTTAGAGCCTTTCTTACAATGTCTGGACACTTAGATAACCGGCAGAATTCTGACTGTAATAAAATCTGATAACAGTCGGTTAGCGTTAAGTTACACTGTTAACCGTCACTTTACTGGACTTTGTAAGAACTACCCTTAGTCAGGTAAACTCAGACAATTTTTAATGTTACAATAATTAAAAATAGTGGGACTGTGGTAGGTGGTTGTATCTCAGTATGTAGAAAGATGTAAGTTATTTCAATCATTTTAAATGTTGATTAAATCAGTGGTGGGACTGGGGGATACAGCCGCCTCCTAAGCCCATATTTCAAAAAATATGTGTATCTTCAAAAAAAAAAAATTTTATATAGGTATTTATTATATATTTATATAATATTGAAAGTTTATAATAATTATGACCGTCCCAAACATGTCCCTGGAGCCGCTCCTACTTCTGGATTAATTATTAGAATAATAAACCTATATAAGTGTTAACTATTTTACTTGTCAAACTTTTGAACAAAATTAACATCATAGCTAGTTATTCCAATATATATTATGTAATAGGTACATGTGTATCGATCTAAATAATTGTTATTATGTTATTCTCGAATATGCTTAGCAACACATTCACACTTCATAAAGATCAATATTATCGGAATAATTTAATAATATATTATTGCATTATTTTTAAGAAAATTATGATAGTTCACAAAAAATTTTTCTTTGTTTTGTCAATCAGACACAGGGACTAAAACCGAATCTACAAAACAGGTTCTGGAACTGGAATCTTTAAAATATTAAAAATCAGAACTGAAATCTTAATTTTAATAAAAATTGAATACCGGAAACAAACAGAAATTTTAAATCAAATAGGTTTCTTAAGGTTCTAACCTAACCTAACCTGACAAACCCTTGTATACGTGCATTGATTCTAGCAATACACTCTTCTGCGGTTGATCCTAATAAAGAACGTTCCAGTTAAGGCGTCTCAAGTACGCGTTACTCCGGTCAGAAAGTCCTGGGAATATATAAAAATACCTATAATACTTATACACAATAAAAATCGTTTCACCGGGTTTCGCACTCGGCCCACACAGGAAATAAATAAAGATGAAATTATGCCAACGGAAATTTAGTGAATGTATAACGTATATACTGCAGCTTTAAGTATAGGAATTATACACGCGTTCGCGGGAGGGGGAGTGACTGAGAGAGAGAGACAGCTGAGTGGCAGGATAATATAACGACATGCAATTATAATAATTGTTTCCACGGCAACATGCGTAGGTAGGTATAAAACGAAACGGTAATGCGTCTAGGCATAATCTAGAAAATTGACGGAGTGAACTCGAATGACTAAAACTTTTAAGCCAAACAAACGGGGGAAGCGGATGCGGGCTGTTGGTTTCCTAAAAATTAAATAATTACGAGCCCGTCAGTTTCCGGAAACGGAAAAGCTTCGATTTCTTTACATACGGCGGTGTCGTAAGCAATCGATTATTGTGTAGTTAGTAGTTACCTACGCGATGATAGTGGCAACCCACAGCCAAAAACGTATTTGCGTAGTATGTTTTATTGTTTTACTAGAAATTCGCTAAACTAGACCAGTTTAAAATTATCCCACATTATCAAGCACCGGGATAATGATCCATGTAAACGATATCGTAGAAACATCCCTTTGATATATTTTTCACACGTCTTGTATAATCTAGCGAATTTGTAGTTGGACTGTGTTTTCCACATTCCACTGTATATTATAGTGTCGCAGTGGATGTAATCAGGTGTCACAACTCGCAGATATTTTCATTTAGCCGTTAATATATAAAATACGCATGAGTTTATTAACATCGTTAAGTATCAATTTTCAGAATAAAGTTTCCCCAGTGTAATAATAGATCATTAGTAATATTATGTTTCTTTTTCATAGTTCTGGTGACTAAATTTATAATTCGATAAATTAAAACAGTTGTTATAATATGGTACTTTTTTTAGTTTAGTGGAGACAGTGGAGTTATTAAATATTAATACATAATTTAGTAATTAAGAAAGTTGAGCACTGTATAATGGCACTGTGCTTACGGTTGGATATGTTTTATCGTTTTTCACGGACACATGCACTCCGAATTCAGCAAGTGTAAACGAGGCAGAACGATGTTGATATTTTAATTTTATAATAATATAATAAAATAATGTCTATGTCCATATAAACACATTAAGATTTAAATTTTATATGTATTTATTTTTCGCCACAAAACACATTTTAGGATTTATCAGATCACCTAACATAAACTAAAAATAAGTATTTTAAAAAGTATTTAATAAATATTATTTAAAGTGTATGACTTGATATGACTTGTATGATTTAACTCTAAAATATCAAAGTTATATCAAGTTTGTCGTTTTTACTTAATTCCACCTACGGTGAATTAGTATAATCAATTAATACAAAATCCAAACCTAACCTAACTGTACTAAAATCCGATGAATTAAACCCTTTTTAAATAAGTCTATCTTCTTTCCAGAGGTCTAATCTGCACACAAACATTCATTTATATATATATAATATATATATACATCGACAAAAAATAATAATACAAATCAACAAACATGCCCGATTAACCAATAGCAAATAATATATTATAATACACAATTATTATTATTTTAATAATATTATTTTTTTTTCTTTACAACCCTTATCACTTAGGAAAGAGAAATCGGCCACAGTCATTGATTTACAGGCTGCCCAAGAAGATTCTCTCAGAACATTTTCTAAAAACTGTTGAAATATACAATTAATATTAGTATTCAAACCATGT